GGGAGAGGGGATAGGGGAGAGGGGGTGAGGGGATAGGGGATAGGGGAGAGGGGGATAGGGGATAGGGGATAGGGGAGATGGGATAGGGGAGATGGGTGATGGGAGATGGGAGAGGGGAGATGGGAGAGGGGGAGGGAGAGGGCGTGTCGAGTTACCTGGAGTCGTTCGTCTCGATCTTGAGGGAGGAGAACTCGCGCAGCACCTCGGTCATCTCGTTGCCCCTCTCGCCGCAGCCAACGTACACGACGACGTCCGAGTTGGAGAATTTGGTGATACTCTGAGCGATGACGGTCTTACCGCAACCGAAGGCCCCGGGCACCATGATGTTGCTGCCCTGGGCGCACGGGAAGAGCCCGTCCAAGACCCGCTGCCCGGTAAAAAAGGGCCGCTTGGGTATGAGCTTCTCGAGGGTGGGCCGGGCTTGGCGCACCGGCCATCGCTGTAGCATCGTGTGGTTCTTGTATACATGATCTATCTCCGTCTGCACAATAACCTCGTTGATCGAGTAGAAGCCTGGAGGGGCGATGTACTGCAGCTGCGACGAGTCCGACATAACATTATTATCGCCTCTGAGTCTGCCACTGTGCATCCGCTGCCATTCCCAAATTTATCCAACTCGCGCGTTCCTTATCGCGTCGAAGCGAGTGCACCCAGGGGCCGTCTCATCCCCACGTTCGTTTGTTAACAGACCAATCGTTAAGCATGGGATGCGACGGAGGAATGATCACGCGAAGGTAGAGAGCGCGACGTTTCTCGGGATAATGGATAATTGTGGCGGAACAGGACGGTAGATAATTAACAAATTTATGATACTAAAGTACTAAGGCAAATAGCCTTAGAAGACGATGAATTTGGGACTTTTGCTCTTCAATGATAGACTACATTGCGCATTAGTATTAATGTTTTAACGATCAACATTATTTCTTTATCACTTTTCATAAAATCTATACGCCTATAATGGCATTATTAAATAAACTCTTTGCTATTTCATATAATTGGCATAAGTCACGTTATTCACTGACATCGAATTATTTTTAATTCTCTCGTAATAAAACACTTGAATTTTGGCACTTTTTTGCCAGTAAGAAATTTATGAGAGATTTAATTCGAATGTAAATTTAGTATTTAAGGGCTTCATTAGGGCAATATTAGGCGCAGTAAGTAAAGTTTCCTTCTCAAATTGTTTCTTTTTCTTAAGTTGAGCATTTATTAAGCATTATTGATTGTCATTTTAGATAATAATTTTAGATAAATCTGAAATTGAATGAATTATGTAATTAAGCTTTTATTACAAATAAATAGAAAGAATTATCTAATAATATATATTTGAAATATTATTGTAAGAAAATTCGATAGCGTAATGTTTATTATACTACTTAATAATAACGATATAATGACGATTAATTTCTCTAAATTTTCAATACAAAAATCAGATATTAATATCAGCAGATATATGTAATTAATTTTATTTCAATGTGTAGGTATAATTTTAGAAATATTAAACGATATAAATAAAATCACGCGAGGTCGTGATACCATTTTCGGTAAATTGCTATAAATATCCAACTGACTTTTGCCTTTTCGTTCCATAAAGTCTAATTAAATCAATAAAAATATTAACCGTACACTCTCAATTCATTTGAAATTACATTCGTACGTTCTCTCTCTCTCTCTCTCTCTCACACACACACACACACACGCGCGCACGCACGCACACATACACACACACACTCTCTCTCTCTCTCTCTCTCTTATTTCTTATATGTATTGTCTTATAACAAAGTTCTACATGTACTGGGATTATAGAGGGTCATTCGCTAGGTCAATTGGGTAAAAAACATAGTTTTTAGTCTTTTGCGTTTTTCTTTTTAAAATAATTTTCTCATAACAGTAAATAATAATAGTAAATGTATTGTTTGAACTAGATTAATAATACCTCAGGATCAGTTGCTTTTAACACACCGCGATTATAATCAACAAATAAACTTTTAACAACATTGTCTTTATTATTTCTTAAATTTGTATTTTAGTTAAAACTCATTGAAATTGTAATTATATCGATTTCGATTTATAATATAGTAGTGAAAGTGTTAGTCAGCGCCTATAGTGAGTCTATTTCTTTTTCTTTTCTCTCTCTCTTTTTTCTCTTTTTCCATCACTACCGGAATTCGTTAGTATCCGTTGCACTGGATATCGATTTCGCGCTCACCTTTCCGAAACATTTCGGCGACAACATAATGTTGTGCTTGATCAATTGATTTTCATACACGTAGCCGATTATATCTCCGCCGATAAGATTTGCGCCTTTCTTCAGCTTCATCGGCTCGAATTCCCAGAGGGTCGACCTCGAGATTGAGGAGAGCCTTATACCCGGAGGTATATATATCGAGTCCGTGGTGTTGTGGATCTTTTGAAGGGGTCGCTGTACGCCGTCATAGATGGTGCTGAGAAGGCCAGGGCCAAGCTCCACCGATAGTGGACGGCCGGTGCGGAACACCGGATCCCCATAGGTTAAGCCGCACGTGTCCTCGTAAACCTAAGAGGGTTCGTGTCGTTCATAGGGAAAGGACTTTGTGGTGCGAGAGCTGTTACTTTATTATATTTTTCCCTAGTTTGCCAAAACTAATGGAAATTTGTCAAGCTTTTACCTATATTTCTCTCTCTCTCTCTCTCTCTCTCTCTCTCTCTCTCTCTCTCTCTCTCTCTCTCTCTCTCTCTCTCTCTCTCTCTCTCTCTCTCTCTCTCTCTCTCTCTCTCTCTCTCTCTCTCTCTCTCTCTCTCTCTCTCTCTCTCTCTCTCTCTCTCTCTCTCTCTCTCTCTCTCTATCTATCTCTATCTCTCTATCTATCTATCTATCTATCTATCTATATATCTATATATCTATATATCTATATATATATATATATATATATATATATTCGCTTGTTCGTAAGAAAAGTGAGTTTGTTAAAGATTTTTGAAATTTTGGCAATATAATAATTCCCTTGTAACCACTTGTATTTAAACATCACTGACCTCAAAATTAAAAAATACTTTTAAAAAGATAGAGAGCTAAACTAGAAGAGTTAAAAGAGATGTAAATTTAAGGGATAAATGATATTCTTGCGATTTTTGAAAGATATTCTTTTTAAGTTACTGTTGTTATTTCTTAATCTTGTCATTTTCAAATTACTAGATATTCCAAATTAAAATATAAGATTTAATATGTTTTTTTTTATATATATATATATATATATTTTTTTTTAATCATTATTATGATTATTATTATGATTGTTGTTGGTGCTGTTGCCGATTGTTGTTGTTTTTTTCGAGTCATTGTTTTTCTATATCGTTATTATAATTGTCGTCGTGGTCGTTCTCATGAGCGTCGTCGTGGTCGTCGTCGTGGTCGTCGTCGTGGTCGTCGTCGTGGACGTCGTAATCGTCAGCGTCATCATCGTCTGGGCCATCATCGTAATCTTATGTCGTTAATTATTTGTATAAACTGACTTGAATCGTGGCTGTGTTGCCTTCGAGGCGTATGACTTCGCCGAGGAGCTGCTTATGGCCGACTTTAACCAATTCGTGTATGGCGGTGCCGTTCATTTGATTGGCCACGATCACTGGCCCCGATATACCATGAATGAAGCCCAAATCAGATTCGCTTGCATCTTCCATTAATTTTAATTTCGGCATAATTAATTGCGCCGAGTCTCGCTCGAGCACCCTCGTCCACTACTCTCTTAACCAAAGTTTTTAGGTTAAATTTTCCTCTTCTTTATTATAATAATGAGAATCGAGCGCGACGTGCTTAGTTGCTACACTTGATCGGATGATGGATGGGGGATGGGGAATGGGGGATGGGGGATGGGGCCACTCGCGTTTCCCTTCAGCTCGTCAACCTTTCAATCGAATGGACATTACACTATATAAAAATTAGCGATTTATTTTTGTTCTTGACTTTCGGTATATTTATATGCATATGTTCGTTTGAAAGATGTGGCTTGTGCTATTGGGCTATTTTATTTTATCACATAATTTTATCATATAATTTTTCACCATATAATTCTTCAATAAATGTTCGATTCCCTTGAAAGTTGCCCGAATAAATGTTATGGTAATGAGTGATTCGATATTTTTTTTGGTGAAAATTTTTTTATAATTTTGCGACATTGTTTTATCTTCGGTTAGCATGGAAATATCGATACAACGTCTTATCCACGTATCTGCCTTAATGAAATAATTCGATTAATTTTCTAATTGGCGATTCGTATGCGTTCGTTGCAATAATAAATGCTCACCATTCCAAAAACGCCCCGACTAGATATTATACAATTTTTTGCTTATTTTAATTTTCTATTTTCAATTAAATTCATCAATTGATATATAAATATGTCATACGGGGAATAGTTGTAAATAATTGTGCAGAATTATTTCATCACTAGGGTTGCAATTATTTTTCGTCACACAATTGTCATATAAGCGGTGTGAATTTTTTCTTTTGCACCGTTGACATAAAAAATGTTGAGCGTTGAAAAATTTTTTTTTTTTTCTCTTGCACATCCCATCGTATATACTATAGAATCATTACTTCTGTACGATAACGAGAATTACTAATTATTTCCGATACTTTGAACGATAATGAACAATGTCAATGACAACAAGTTACTCTACGTCATCACTATTCTTCAAATGGTATTGTTAAATTGCAATACGTCCTCGAGATATTGGCAAATTATGGTACTTTTATTGAATTTTCAATGATCTCTCGGGTACAGCGGTCGAAGAAACTTCATAGCGACAATATTTCGATATGATTAAACTAATAATAATAAATCTGTATCGATAACGATAACAAATACATAAGAAACGACAATCGTGAAAGGTCCTCGGATAGACCGAGTTATTATCAATTGCCGTGCATGGGCGAACGAATTAATGGAATAACCAACCTGGCCGTTTCAGCAGATTTTGCAAATAGCGTTTTTCGACGTTAAGCTGACTCGAGAGCTGCGACGACTCCTGGTGGCCCGGCCGTTTGCCCGAGGTCAACGAGCAACGCTTGGACGATGGCCCTTGAAGACCCGGAGATTTAACGTCCGACTGCTCCGGGTCCCTCGTCGCTGTGGAACTGCGATCGGCTATCGGCACTGATTTATCCTGTATTCCCTTGCGGCAATCGTCTCGCCGTGACAGCGACACCGCTTTACCTTAATCGGCATTAATCGTTGATTCGTTAATGAATCGTTGGATTGATTGGAGTCAATGTGATCCAATTACTTTTGTTTTCAATAAATTGTCATTTCAATTTAATGTCATCTTCATTTCGAGTGGAATAAAGCCGAATTTAGCGTAATTGCCAATGTTAAGGTTAACCAATGCTGTCGATCAATATCCACTCGCGCGCTCAATCAAATTGCATTTGCCTTGCAAAATCTTGGATTCAAGTTCCATGGGGACGTTGCGTGACGCGAGAAAATGATTGGAAATCGCCTCGTAATTACCAATGACAAGTTAATAAATTGAAATAACGATGGGATAGGACGAGATGTACTATACCTCCGAGTATGGTTTGAATGGCTTCCTTGGCCTTCTGCACGCCCAGGCGAAACTGATCGAATTCGGGTCATATCTTCATGCCCCGATGGTAGTAGACGAGACTGAGCTCAAAATCACCGAGGTGAAAGAGGGCCTCCGCCTTGGAGTAGAGGGCCTTGGCGCTATGAAGAGCCTTCGTCCTGCCGCGTAGAGCGCTGTTCGCATCTTCCAGAGCCTTCCGCGGCTCTCCCAATAACAGATGGCACTTACTCCGCGCTATCAATGCATTCTTATCATTGGGGCTCAGTTCCAAGGCCTGCGGGATATTAAAATTTGGCCCCGTGTCTCGTTTATACGATGGTCATTAGAGTCGTCTTATGGGAATCGCGTAAAGCGAGCTCAAATGATTCGTGATAAGTCGTTGTTTGGGATTGCCGTTGTGTGCTTAAGCGATAACGAGTGGGGAGTTACGTGTATTTTACGCGACCGAATAAGACGAATGACATGGACGGGGTTCCATTAGCTGTCGTCGGTCGCTTCGCCGAATGAAGTCGATTTCAGACGGAGCATAATCCAGTCGAATGAGTCTACTTAATGATGGATTGTGAATTTACGTGTTGAGAAATAAGGGGAAAAAACAAACAAAAAAATCAAAAAAAAAAAACAAAAAAAAACAAAAAAAAACAAACAAACAAACAAACAAAAACGAAATAAAAAAGAAAAGATAATTCACGAATAGATGACAAATTTTGTCATTAAAGTATAAAACTTTTAAATTGTCTCTTTTATTTTTATTACACACACGCGCGCGCGAGCGTAGATATATATATATATATATATATATATATATATTTATTTATTTATTTTCGCTTGAATAACTCGACTTTAGTTTTGAAGTTTTAATTTCTTACCAAGTAGCTTAAACAACGAAACTTCCATGAACTCGTATTACTCTACTTTCATCTCAATTACTCTATTTTAAGCCGCTTACGACCCTAATATAATATCTTTTGTTATTTCTGCTTGAAGCACCTGCCTGTGTGTGCGCGCGCGTGTTTAACGAATATACCATATCAGATAGTGCAAACTAACTCATGCAAATGCAAATATTCCCTTTAAATTACATTTTATATCTAAATTTGCTACTTCTACTTGGGGCACAATTTATCCAATTTACTTACAAGAATTAAAAAAGAAAATTTTTTTTTTGAAGCATGCACTTTTATCAACTTAATATTTATCATTTAATTTTGGCTAATTGACTTAAACTAACTGTAATTAATTGGTAGGAAAGAAACTTGCTTGTACTTTATTATAAGCGAATAGTTCAGCTTTTGCTCGCAAAAGCTTCTTCTTCGTCCATTAAATCATGGTTCTTCAATTTAAGAACAAATTCATTTTTAAATGTAAAACCAACTTTGATCTACTATTAACTAATAATTCATTATTTCTCAATAGGAATATCGTACGTATTCCACTAGATAATATACAAGCATATTATGTTAAATATTTATTATAATGTCCATTTATTATTTAATAATGTTTACTCAATAATATTTCTTCATTACTTGAAGTATAATGGTTATTATAAAATAAGATATGATAGTATCCTGGTTCGGATACCGAGCGATAATCATCCTTTGGCGGATTTTCCTCGATCGATTAATCTCAAGACAATACCACAAAATACCCTCGATGCTCTCGAGTTTCGCAAGATTCACTGGTTTAAGCGCGTAGTCCTAGGCTTACTCCTTGGCCGCTGAACGTTGAAACTCTCGCTTTGACGTTGTGACTTTGGACGATTCAAATACACTAGCCGACATGGATTCTCGTGCTCAAGCATTAAATGACGCGTAAGATAAAGGTTTAATCGAGGATATCGAGACCTTGTTGATGCAGGAGAGAGCGATATTGACGTTGCCGCACCTAAGCTCCCGAGTCCCGAGGGCCAGCATCGCTCCAGGCTCGGCCTCCTCCGGAATCATGAGCGCCTTGCTCCGGTCTTGTTTGCGCTTAAGTTTGAGGGACTGTTTGATGTCCCGACTGCCCATGTTGACGGCCGCAGCTCTGTCCTTGTCCGTGTACACCTCCTCCTGACGATGGGCCTCGCTCCTGCGCCTCCGACGGCGTTTCGTTCGCTGGATGCGCTCCTCCTGTAGCACCTGCTGCACGGTCTTCGCGTGATGGAGTCGCACGACCGAGCCGTGCTCCTTGGAACGGCGTGATTCCGAGTCCTGGACGGACAATGCCATCGCAGCGGTCACTGCAGCAGCAGTAGCCGACGATGATGACTCCCTCCTTAGCGCAACGACAAGTAGAATATTACCTCGTGTGACTTCCTTTAATGCTACCTATGATTATGTCGTACGGCGATGATCCATCTACTCCGAGTCTAACATTGGATCATCAAAATTGCAAATCTGGCTACGCGCGGGTGTTAGAGTCATGATTTTGAAATCGTCCTATCGATGCTCCTCAAGCATATAATCTATTCTATTGGGGCTCCTTTTGTTAGGTAATTAAGAACGATAATAATTTTGGTATTAATGGCTCTGAGCTAATAATGGTTTTGGTTACAAGTGAGATAATTTTGATAGTGATGGCATCGAGGACGTAATGGGAATTACTCTGCTTGATATTATGAATGATCACCACAAGGATATAAGGACATTGAACCCTTGGATCACCTTTGGATACTTGAGTATTATATTTTTATATTTCCGTTAAATAAACACGGCTTTTGATTAATAATTTAAAGAATTCAGTCCAAAGTTAAATTAGGCTTTCAATATAAAATACAGGATTCGAATTTTGTGTGATTAAAAAAAAAAAAAAAAAAAAAAAAAAAAAAAAAAAATCATGATCCACGGAAACATATAATAAACAAATTTTTAACTATTAAATTAGGTGTCGAAATATCAGGATCGGTAATTCGAATTTTATATTTACGTTTATTTGTATTATAATGAACATTAATTAAATCTATTTGCCTCAATGGCGTACTTTATGTTTATTAATTTTTTAATCTGTTTCACAAGATAAAATAATTATTTTTACATTAACAATTTTTAATGAAATATGTTTGTGAAATTAAAAAGATTACTATTACAAAATGTTCGAGATTTCATAATATTTATTATAAATATTTTAGCTTTTAGCAATGATATGAAACTCACATAATTCATGAAATACGGTTGAAATGATAAAATATCATTAATATTTGCGAATGAAATGACGAAAATGGTAAAACTACTTAAAACTATTACATTATATCGCGTTATTTTTATTATAGATAACGAATTTAAATTTAATATCGTAATCATATTATGTTATTAAATTTTGTAAAAAAAAAAAAAATATTAAATAATAATTTAACTAAATCTATATAAATATAATAAATAATAAATGCATGCGCGTCCGCGTTAAGGATTATGAGATGTGGTATTTTATATCTTCAGATATGTAATAAATAATTTTTATGCAATATTGATTATACAGTCGGTTACAAATTTATTTATTAAAATATAATGTAAATTCACTAGTTGAACAAAAGATAATTTTCATCGAGCCCCGATAGAATTTTTTTACAAATAAAAAATCCAATTGACACAGATAAACCCAGGCTAAGTTGTCACATTAAACTATATCATTGAATTATTTGACTAAAATAATATTTGATGAAAATTCGTATAATAATACAAACAATAATAATACATTAAATAATTTGATCATTTTAATAGATAAGACGTAGACTAAAATAAATAGCTTTTTTAACGGGTTATTTAATTTTTTTTCAAATTCAATCAAACTCAACAATTATTGATCTTATCAATTAGATTACGTATAAATAAAAAATAATATGTGTACGATATTCTTGGGTGAGAAATATTTATTTTTTTTCAAACGTTCATTAAAATGACATTATTCATTTAAATTACAAAATATCTGCTCCGTTACATAAATGTAAAAAAATTATATTGTCAGAAATTTATCATAATTAAAGATTTTCATTATAATAAATGGAATTAAAACGAACTCTATATTATTTTTAAATTACTTATTTCTGATTTTCTTCTTTTTGATAAATTATTTGGTTCAAATATCCTTAGATTTTTATTGACATATATTGCTTAGATAAAGTATTTAAAAGCAAATTAAATAATATATATATATATATATATATATATATATATATTCATTTTACAAATTAATATTTATCATTTAACAAAAATTACTTAGATTAAATTAGAATTAGAACTTAGATTAAAAGAAATAATCATAATTTTAACATTAATTTTGTGGAAAAACTCGAGAAGCTTCAAATAAAACTTTTCTTCGAATAATAAATTGTTCCAAACTATTAAATACTTTGACAATCGGTCAGTTTATGTAGACGATTACAATCAAACTTTAAACGTATTGAAACATAAGATAAATAATATACAATAACGTCATATCACTCTATTAAATATCTTTTTAAAACAATCAATTAATTAAATCTATTTATTAGATAATGAAAATCTTAGTCTATCATTTTAATCGTGTTTAATTTAAAAATTTCAAAGATATTTTTTTTAATAAGCCAGTACGGTCATCGTGTCATTGTTGTACATCTCATCCATAAAGCCTGACTATTTATGCAAATTTGAATAGGAAATAATTTTACCTTTTAGAATATTTGTCATCAGTGGCGATTCCATAATTGGTATTGGGCACGTCATCCAGACCAATACGTACAAAACTTTGAAGAAAATCATTATCGTGGAGCGTTGGTTTCAAAATGTTACAAACCTCTTGTACTATCGTAGCCGAACCTGCGTTAATATTTGCAGAATTTTTTCTATTTTCTGTCATTTTTTCTTTCTTTCTTTCTTTCTTTTTTCTTTTTTTTTTAACACGGGTATTCGCCGAAGGTGAAAGAATCGTACAAAAAATGTAAATTATCCAATTTTTAACACACAACTTGTAATTTTTCAAAGATTTTTCAATTAAATATCAATCGAGATAATTTCATTTGTTAAAGATATTCATTAAATAAGACGAAATATTATTTCGGCGCATTCTATGCGTTTACTTCACAACTTCGAGCTTAACAATTTTCAAACGAACCATTTGCTTTTGAATACGTAGGAAGAAAATTTTTTAAAAATTGTCCTCGGACCACTCGATTATACCTTAATCCAGACAATCAACTTATCTTAAATAAAATCACTTATTATTAACGATGCAATAAGTGAGCAAACTTGAAGGGAAATAGGAATAGATTTTATGGAATGCAAGATAAAGGAAAATATGTATATCGACACCTTCCACGGTAGCCTCTCTGTTTCCTTAGTAACAGTCAACAATGCGTCACATGTAACACTTATCATTGCGTGTAGTCGAATGTGATTTCTCTAATGTTTAATTAAAAATTAATAATCTATGTTTTGTAATGTAACCTGATGTGTGCATAATATATAAATATATGCATATATAATTATAACACTACGGATATAAATACATGTTTAATTATTTTTTATAATATTACGATAAAACGTTAACAAATATTCGCAACAAGATTATGTTCATGATAACTATTTCAGCAATTTGCGCATTGGCTAATCGATAGTAATGTTCTTCTTAACGCCGAAAGTCTATAGAAATATGATCAGGCACTGATTTTATTTAACAGTTTTTATAATTTTGTTTCTATCATTTGTCGATACTAAAATATTTAACCAAATCCAATGATTAATAGCAATAATCCGATAATTTATAAAGCTTATTACGTAAATAATTGAGATACGGTAACTTTATAATAATGCAAGAAATATTGTAAACAAATATTAACATATTATTAAAAACGGTTTAGTACTTATAAAAATATATATTCGCACCATAGTTTAGTATTGTTTATAATATAATATATTAAATATTTTAAAAAAATGTGGATTTGTAAATGAAATTGATTCGTCTCCATAAAGATCTAAGCCTATTTAACAATTTTTTAAATTAAAGTTAATTAAATGCAAGTTTCTTATCACATAATAAAATAATACTTATCTTTTTCATTAGATTTACTAAACATAGTAATAGTAGATTTTTAGTATTTTTGGTCATCAGAAATATGAATTTTATTCAACTTGCCGAAACTGATATAATAATATATATTCGATCATACTTAAGTTTTTGACAGTTCGTTTTGAATAAATGGATATTATTTGAAAATAATACTTTACTTATAATTTCATTAGAATTATTGCTTCATACAAATACGCTGAAATTTATAATTTTCAATTCGCTAATTCATCGCTAATTCAACACACTATTAATTTACATAGTTACGAATATGTTTTATTATAACAACTCTATTCTATTTTTAAAATCTTTTTTTAAAAGTTTCAATATTCACAGTCTGAACTCTGATAAGAATTGAAGAAGAAAAAAACATGTATGTGTAAGATATGTAAAGGAGACTTTGTACGAAGTACATCATAGTATTACATCGGTTAGTAATGAAACTGCAAGAAGCACGAGAATTCAATTGATTGAAGCAATTTTTTGAATCCAAGTTACGATGTTTCTAGACTCTAAGTTATCAAAAAATAAACACTTAATATCACATTTAAGATAATACGTTAGATCATAATTAATTAATATTAAATATTCGTAACAAAATACGAAATTTGTAATTAAGCACGATCAATTAATAAAAATAATTTTCTTCTAATACAACAAATTAATATAATAATTTACAATCGAAGAAACAATAAAATTGAATTATTTATAATATTAAATTACAATGATAGAAATATATATTTAGTTATAAATCATTTCCCTAATGAAGGTAATTTAAATGTTGATAAAACTCAATTGTAAACTGAAATTGGATGTAAAACTAAAATGTTAATTTTTTTAATTAAATCTTGATATAAATTTGTTTTCAATTTTTTTCAAAATATGTATCGTATACGCCATTAAATAAAAAAATTCCGATTATAAATTTGCCATGTCTATTATAAAAATAATTTACAATTAAATGCAAATACAGAAGCTACAATTATATATTGTCAATTTTCATATATTATAAATTAATTTATGTATTTAGATTTACGTATTCTTTTCAATTGCCAAAACTGTTGATATGAAAAATCGTATTTTCATAATCTTAAGTAAATTTTAATCCAATTTAACGACATTGTATACTTTATTATTACATTATACAACTTTAGCATTGTAAGTAAATTGTTGTTCGAAAGAAAATTCGATGCTATTAGAAAATTATGTTGAAAACATTATTTACATTAATACACGAAGTAACATTTTTTTTTTTTTTTTTTTTTTTTTTTTTTAATACACTTAATGAAAACATAATGAAAAGAATTAATCTCGTTTAATTATATGAGCAAAAAAATTTATAATGAAATAATATTTCGATTATAATTCTGTTATTGAAATAATATTGGAGATAATGGGATTATCTATAATATATATAAAAATTGGAATAATATTGGAAATATTGAAATAACAATGAAGGAATAAATATTAATTCGATTTTAATGTTCGATATTTTAATATATGATCATATCGCTAGTTCATACGTTACAATATTAAAATAAAATTAATTTATTGGTATCGAAATAGCATGAAAATTTTTTTTTATAAATAATATAAATTTCGAAGCAATGTTGATACAATTAGTAGATATTTTAAAAGAGTTCACCGGCTTACCTATTTAATTCCTATAATAATAATACATTAAGCAAAAATATAATTTTTAAGAAATTAAATAACAAATTTTTGTAAATAATAATTGTTATAATACGATTTACAAATATGTGATAACTGATAAAAAAGTATACGATTATCTTATTTCCTCATAATTATGTACGATTCGTTATTTTAATCGAAATTTTATATAAAAATACCTAATATAATGAAGCATTAATGTATCGTGCTTATTATGATAACGTAATTCGTAATTTTTATTATTTTCAACTGGACAATTTTAAATATCAATTCGTCAATATTTTAAATTATAGTTGAAATTTTATGGCTCTTGTTAATATATTTCTTACAATATGAACTCATTATTAAAATAATTAATCGCTAGAAAGTTGTAGTCAGAAGAAGAATATAATTAATAATTGGCAGATAGTATCCTATGGATATTAAATATTATGTTGTATAAGTATTTGTAGTTATGAAAATCTGCATTCGTATTAATTAATGTATTCATATAATAATTTGCATTGCAAACATATTTGAAAAATATTTTTCATAATATAAAATTACTATTAGGATGATATTTATTCTATGATAATATTCGATAATTCGATAATTTATAGCTAATTACAATGAGAAATAATGTGATAAATTCTAACAACAGGACTACAAATGTTTATCCAAAAGTACATATATTAATTATAATAATATATTTAATAATATTTGATAACTTACCGATCAAAATGTCTTTTATTATTAATTTTATAAGAAAATAAGCGACTAAGTACATAATTACACATGTCGTTAATCTCTATTACAAACAGCTAGACGCAATTACTTAATACATAATTACTTAATACGGGAGTAATTTGCATATGGCAAATAATTTTTATTATAAAAATTAATAGATACATTTAAAAACACGCACATGCAGACTATTTGAGATATCCTACTGACGCTACATCGATATCATCATGCATGATTCTATTCTATTAATGGTCATTCTAGCGTAATCTTGGTGCTGTAAAAGTGTTTTATGAAATTAATCATGTGCATTGAAACATAATATGCGATTATGATAATCTGCTCAATTATCAACTACTGTAATTAAACATATATTAGCGTGAAAGAAAAATACTTATAATATAGTAATTAATCTAAGAATACATTACAGTTTAATTAACCTTAGTGTACAATAGCAAGGCCTTGTCATAAATGCCGCTCTTTAAGTGGCCCGTAGCTTCGTCGATAAATGTCTTCGTTTCTATTTCTACTGATTTTAGATTAACCTTGCATCTCCCTCTGGAAATCGTCTTTTTCGAAGCAGCCATGTTTTTAAACTCTGAATAATTAAATTCAATTAGTCGCGAGCTTGCAATTATAGGCGTAGAAAGTATTTATCTTAAACGTATCAAGGCAGTAGAGACGAATTTTTGTACATGATTTCAAATTGCAGTGCCAATAATAATTTACCGTCTCAAATGTTCAAGAGAAATATGTTCTAATGTGCAATATTACAGATAGTGCTTCTCTTAATTCCTTGAATGATTATAATTTATAGAGATATTGCCTATGCACAACGGGATTGTATGAAAATCACGTGAATGTTTAGTTAATGAAAAAAATGTATTGACATTTAAATTAAAGGATCGAGTCAAGATTTCACATTACCAGTAAAGACTTTGAATAGCTGACGCATCGTATCAAGAAAATGTTTGCACGTTTTATTCGAGATCAATCGTCAAAATTTCATTCGTTCGACGTATTGCAATTTCAAATGCTTTTCGACTAAAATCTCGTACACAATGAATCAATAGCACATTTTCGATCAGTCCACGGAACATTATGAAAATTCTATCAACAAGAAAGCATACTTTTTATGCTTTCATGATGAATTGAAAGATTTTTGCTGTCTCTATAGTTGCAAATTTATGATTAAGATAAATATCATTACGACATAAGGTTTATGAGTTATTAGACACGAATATCGATACACACGATAAATAGAATTACTTGTAAAAAATTAAGATGCAATCGTTTGAAAACGAGAAAAAAATAATCATAAAAAGTAATAATAATAACAATAATAACAATAATAATAACAATAATAACAACAACAATAATAACAACAACAACAACAACAACAA